ATGGTCAAGTTTGGGAAGAGAACCATCTTGAAAGATAGACTCCTCACGGACTTGGATGAGGAAGGTATATTAATGTTGTTAGAGAAGTTACAATTACAAGGCTGAAAGGACATGGTCCTTCATATGGATGGAAGGCTGGCCAGACCTGAGATTGTAGAGTTCATGGCAAACTGTGAGATCAAAGATGGTAGGATCACCAGTGTGGTAAAGGTGTTGACAGTGACTTTTGATGATAAAGAACTGGGAGAGATCTTAGGTGTACATACTGCAGGGTACAATGATTATAAGAAGCTCAAATGGCCAAGTCTAGAGAATCTCCCCACTGCCCTTGCAATTACTAGGAAGTTTGGTGACAATGAAGAGGAGCTTGAGCCGAAGTCTATTTACAAAAGTGAGATGAAGCCATCCCACAAAGTGTTGTTCGAATTTATTAACAAATGTGTGTTGCCAAGGTAGGAAAGGAGGCACATTGCCACATTTATGGACCTAGTCCTTATGGAATGTTTGGACAGTGGGAGGCAAATTAATTTGCATGGATTCATCATCCAGCTTCTTGATAGGGTTCTGAATGGCACCAAAACTCATGTCATACCCTATGGCTTTATTCTCACGGTTGTACTTGTACACTTCAAGGTACCCATCAAGAAATGGGAAGTTGGTACAAGCAAGGATCATTTTGGGGCAAACACTCTAACTGCTTGTGATTATGAAGTCCAAACCACTCCCAAAGAACCTAGTTCATCCAAAAAGGCACCAGTAAACAACAAAGTGCGAGCTTTGGTGCAAGAAAGTGGGGCTAAGGATGTTGAGTTTGATAGGCTGAAGAAGAGGTTAGCAGAGGTGGAGACTGAGAGAGATGCTCTCAGAGCTGAGCTGGCAAAAGAAAAGGAGAAGTATGATGGCATTCTTCAGGATATGCTACAACTGCTCCAAGCCAAAATCCAAGAACCTGGTCCTTCCCGGCCTTAAGCCTCCTAGCCTAATGTAGATCAACCAGTGACCCAGTTCGGGATTTTTTTTGCTTCTTTTTCTCATGATCCATTGTTTTATTTCTTTTTATGCTTTATGGTATGATCTTATCAATCAATGAAATTCGCAGTTTTTGTTCTAACTGTTTGTTGATATTTCTTAGATGGCTAATATCCTTAGATTGATCGATAATTTTTGACTCCATGATTGCATTTGAAGTAGCCCAGTGGCCATGAGTAATTTCTATTAAAATCTAGTTATCTAATATTATTATGTAACTTTTTGATGATGCCAAAAGGGGGAATTAGGTTGTGATTTTACTTTGGATTGTGATGTTTATAACCTAATGAACCTGGTCCTTGATGATAAGTGACTTTAAAAGGGTAAAATATTCTAACATTGTGTTGATGTTGAGCTGAGTCGAAACAGAACCTACGCTTATGAAAAGCACAGAGTTTGTTATCATAAAAAATGGGGAATTTGTTGGCCCAAGTGAAGTTTGTTTTAAAGATTGACAAAGGAACTCAGGCATGAACCAGGTCCATCCCCTGTGTACACAGACACAGGCAAATTCGAGGATAAGGGATGCATGTGAAGGAGATAATCTTAACTTGTTATATCTGATATCTCCTGATCGAAAAGGTTGCATAATTGATAAAGAGAAGGACTTCTTACTCAAACAGAACACTATCCAAGATAAGAGAGGCGTTAGAAGTTGTGGATAACTAGAACTCTTCCACCAAGGAAGAGTAGCATTAGAACTCTAGTTATTTCCCATTCTACTAACTTTATATATTGCAGTATGTTCTCATTCTACAGTGACGCACAAAAGCTGAAGTTAAACGTGAGTTGAGAGCAAAATAGCAAGGCATTTTGCAAACAATTCTTGTGTGATTCAAGTGTGCGAACTTGAAGCTATATGAACCAAATAGAAGAACTAGTTCCAAGCATCTGTCTTTTATTCTAGTTCAATTGTAGTAGGTGTTTTCAAGTTGTACCTTTCAGTTTTATCTATAAGCAATTGTATTAGGTACTCTGAGTATTCAAGTTATAGTTAACTTAAAGTTGTCGCAACAATTAGAAGTTGCTGCCACAACGGGATTAGAGTTAATCCTTAGGTTTACAAAGAGTTTTGTAAATGCTGTTTTGGCTAATTGATTTAGTGAAGTGTTGGAAAAAATCCTACTGAGTAGTAGGTCGTGTTTTTTTCACATTTTGAGCCAGGTGTTTTTCACGTAAAATACTTGTATTCTTTACTTTCCGCATTTACTATTTCTGCAACAGAAGTATAAGGAACACTTAAAAGAACCAGGTCCTTCTATAATCAGTGCACGCAAAAATCAGGCACCACGCAAATCACCCCCTCTTGTGTGGTATTGAAGTATAAAACATCAATTAACCCATGAATAAGGTGGGAAAAACTCTTAGAATCTCTCATGAGACAATATTACAATGGTTTTGTTCAATTAAGTTTCCTTCAGCTTGGAAATATTGATACAAATCTCCGTATTCAACTTCCAGCCATTTGCATTTCCGCGTAAGTAGGAAGTTGCAAACAAAGCACACTTAACAGCAGAGGCGGAGCTAGAGTTTGAAATTTATGGGTTCAATATTCTAGTCCGTTAAAGTTACAGGGTTCTAAATTAATAATTTATACATATTCAATAGATTTCTTAAGACAAATATAAAATTTGGACGAAAGTTACTGGGTTCGACCGAACCTGTAACTCCTGTGCTAGCTCCACCCCTGCTTAAGAGATACTCCCTAATTTAATTAGTTATTTACAAATTCAGAAAAACTAAGTTTGTTATGTCTATTATTTGGTGATATTTTCTTGGTGTTATTTTAAAATAGCTGTGATATGAAATATAATAACCTTCTAATATAGTAAAACATGAAGAAAGAAAGAAAAAGGAAAGAACGTTCAATAAATTCATCCCATTTCTAATCAAACTTGACTTTATTTCCTCAATCTAAAACTTTATTATCCTATTTGAGACTTTTTCGCAGGTTCATTTGGTGTTTTATGACATACAGTATAAGTCGAGAGGCTGCTGAGTTTTTTTTTTTTGATTTACCAGTAGCTGCGACAAGGAAGATATAGAAGTGGATGGTGACGAAGCTTGTAATTAATACTTTGCTTTGGCTAGCTTTTCTTTTGTATTTCTTGGCAGGGCGGCTCAAGCGCACGTGGGCCATAAGGCGAAAGTTTAATATGGGGCATAAGTATTTATAGGAACGTTATAATATATATTTTTATTTAAAATCTATTGTTCTAGAATCTAGCTATTGGTGCCAAGATGGTTTTGATAACCGGATGCATATTTTCTTGTTGACATAATTATATTTTAAAAAATAAATAAATAATATGTACAGAGTAAAATTAATAAAATAATAAATAATAAATGAAAATAACACTAGAGAAAGTTAGAATGATATGCCCAATGACTGACTGATTCAAGAAGTTTGAAAACTTTAATTCCAAAATATCTAGTTGTTGGCTTGTTGGAGTCTTGGACAAAGAAAGAAATCTAATAGAAAGAACTAAGAAGATGAGCATGAATAAAGAGGAATGAAGAAGATATGTCTTCTGGAATACGAAGAATANAACTACGACCGAGAGTTTCGCCTTTTGAATCGCCTCATTCTTACCTTATTATTATATTAAACCCAAGACAAATTATAGCATGCATGATTTTTGGAATTATAGCACTTGCCTTTCTTATTCCCCCTACCTCCCACCCCCCACCCCCCACATGGAGATGGTTCCTCACTTCCCCTCCCTTCTTAGTCTAATACATGTAGTCAGATGCGGATCTAGAATCTAATGGTTACGGGTGTCGTTGTATTCAATATAAACTTACCGCTAGTCAATAAAGTTGAATTAGGATGTGCATTTGATCGGTTCGTGTAGTTTTAAATTAATTTGTGTGATTCGATTCATTTTGAATTAATTTGGTTTGGTTTGCAATATTTTTTTGTGCAGAAATAAACACGTGATAACCAAACTATCATGTGAACCCATACCCCTCAACCTGGATACGCATCTGGCGACGTACGACCCATCTTATACAGAATGATAAAGGGGCTTCTATGATGATTGAACACAGAAATAGAAATTAAGCATTAACCCTTATCAACTATCTCGTTGCTCCTGGCAACAAACATGCCCGATCGGGTCGATCTAGCTCATTTCACTGTCACTCAATATGATGTTTTGCTTAGTTTGTCTATCTACAACCTTGATTGTTTTTGTGTTTGTTACTTTCTCTTTTTTTGGCTTCTCATCTAACTATATACTGAATCCCTTCTCATCTAACTATATACTGAATCCTATCCTACTTGACCTTTTCTCTATAGGATTGCCAACTGCGACTTATACGAGTCCACTAACCCGTAGTGCGTTGGGTATATCACATTCACTATATTTTTGAAAAAAAAAATTTCTTTCTAAAATTTCATTAAATTTATGAATACGAATTTTCATTTTTAATTATAATTTATCTGTTGATCGTTTCACTTCAATTTATTTTTACTTAGTTTTGATACAGCATTAGTATTTCAAAAGAAATCACTAACCTCCTATGTATAGTATAAGTTCTATAGAAATTAATATTTACATAAAATTTATTTTGTATAGAATTTTATTTTTAAAGGGGGTTATGCATCTAATTTTGAACAAAACATACTTTTTCAATAGTTGAAACATATATATTTAGTGTGACTACTAAAGAAAATATTAAATTGGTAACAATCAGTTGACCAAATGGCGTTGCCCTGTTCTAAGTATGTGCCTTTACGAAAGAAAATAAATTGCAACTTAAACTTATCCTGAAAAATTAATTACACACATTACCTTGATTGTTATTTTCTTGTTTTCCCCGTTGTAGCTTGTAGCCCGTAGGAAATTAGAAAAAGAAAAAAGAAAAAAGAAGAGCACTAAAGGCCGGCGTAAACCCGTTCTGAACTATCTTAACCC